ATTATTTATGAAAATAATCGAATTCTCGCGAAAAATGTAATGAAAATTTATAAAAATCTTAATTAAATTCTTCTGAAGAGAATTGAATTGTGGAGAATTGTTTAATTATTTATAAAGATAATTGATATTTTAAGGAGAATTTTATAAAATTTTTTAACATAATTGAATTTCAGCGAAGAATTTTATTACTTTTGAAAATAATTGAATTATTTTTTAGAATTTTATGGAAATTTATAATAATAATTGAATTCTGTTGTTGATTAGTTTTAATATTGTTAAGTACTTTGTGCCCGTAAACACTAATAAATAAATAAATAAATAAAATTCTTGAATGAAAAATATTTTTTTTTTAAATAATATTCAAAAAAATTTAATTAATCTGAAGAATTTTGCTATTTATGGAAATCATTGAATTCTTGACGAATTTTAATAAAATTTTTAAGAATATAAAATGTAATTACATTTTTCGAGAAATTCAATTAAAATTGTATTAAAAATAATTGAAATTCTTCAACAAATTTTACTATTTTTGAAAATAATTGAATATATTGCGAAGAAATTTTTAAAAATAAAATTCTAATAACGGCGACTAACTTATTATTTTCGAAAAATTTAAATAAAATTCTGTGAAAGGAGTTTATTTTTAATAGAATATAAAGAAATTTCAATTATATTAAAAATTTTCCACTATTTGTTCATAAAAATTCAATTATCTTGAAACAACAGAATTGAAAAATTTCAAAAATTTAATTTAAAATTATTATTCAATGATTTTCATAAATAATAACATTTTTTACAGGATTCAATTATTTTCATAAATTCATAATAAAACTCATCGCAGACTTTCAATTTTTTTTAATTTTTAATACTATTTTAATGGAATTGCTCAAAAAATATAATCATTATTCTTAAAAATTTTATTAAAATTCAGCAAAGAAATTCAATTATTTAAAAAACTTTTGCTACAATTTATTTATTACAATTTAAGTATTATTTTAAATACATTTTTAATTAAATTTCTTCAAAAAATTGAGTTATTTTTATAAATAATTAAATTCTTTGTGATAATAAAATTTTTTTAAAAATAATTTTCATAAAATTCTTCGTAGATATTTAATTATTTTAAAAATTTGTCAAAATTCAATTATTTTCAATGTCTACTATTTCAATAAAATTTCACAAAAGAATTCAATTATTTAAAAAGATATTTTAATAAAATTTGTCTCAGGAATTCAATTATTTTCAAAATTATTCTAATTCTTCGCAGGAATTCAATTATGTTCAAAAATTTACAAAAATTCTCGTCCAAATTTCAATTATTTATAAAAAAAATAAAATTCCTCTCCGAAATTTCATTATTTTCAAAAATTATAATAAAATTCTTGGCAGAATTTCAATTATTTTTAAATCAATTTTCATAAAATTTCTCAACAAATAAAATTATTCTTAAAAATTTTATTAAAATGTGTCAAGAGAATTAAATTATTTAAAAATTTTGTTGATAAAATTCTTTATATGAAAATTCAATTTTAAGAAACATTTAATTATTCAATAAAATATTTATTTTTGTAGTTAAATAATTGAATTCTCGTAGAATTTTCTAATAAATATTGATTTAGAAATCAATTTCAGTTAAAATTTTAGATTATAATTGAATATTGAAAGCATTATAGCGTGGATTTTTAGAAATAATTGAATTTTCAAAAGGTTTCAAATTAAAATCTCTGAAAATTTGAATTTTTCATACTTTTAATTAATAATTCTGTAGAATTAATAATTTTTTTAAAAAAGTTTAATGAGATTTTTTTAATTATTTAAAGTTTTTAATTTCTAATATACATTTAATTGAGAACTGTCAGAATTATCGAAATTTCGTAAAATTAGATTGTAAAAAGAAAATTTGAAAATCCTCAAAGAACTTTATCGAAAATTATTTAAAAAAAATTGACTTAAAGAAGAATTTTAGTTGAAAATTTTCAAGAAGTTACAGTAACAAAGTAGCAAGTTTTAATTATAAAACATGAAGAAAGCGATCACTCCTCGACTCGGAGTGATCGATATCTTCATGTTTGTTAATAATATTCTTGTAAGTTATTGAGTTTCAAATTTTTGAAAATTTTAATTTCTATATCAAAAAATAATAATGATTGAATATTTATTTAAAAATGAAGTTATTAATATTTACTAATAATTTTATTAAAAACCTGGAAAAATTTCGTTTTTTAACCTGGAAAAGTAAGGGAATTTGAAAAGAGCAAAAGCGTGATAACCCTCTAAAAGAACTCTAAAAAGCCTCATTATATTTTTTTACTCATAGACTCAATTTTTTCCGCACCTTCTATTATTTTTTCAACATTTTTGTCAAAGAATACGCTCGCAACACGTTATTTTTACGCATTTTCCAAATAGATTACGAAAATGGCGGTATTATGAAATGAAAAATGCTTTAAGAGTAGGTATGCAAATATTTTATCACACATTGTTCGTATAGTTTCCAAGTATATACTTAGAAACATACTTAATGTATATATTTTTATAAGTAAATTTTATATATAAGTATATGTATATAGATATTCATTTATTTATACATATTTAGTAGCAGAGAGAGAGAGAGAGAGAGAGAGAGAGAGAGAGAGAGAGAGAGAGAGAGAGAGAGAGAGAGAGAGAGAGAGAGAACTTTTTATAATACTAAAAGAGAGTGAGACCAGATGCTTTCATATAAATTTCAAGAATGCATTGAAAAATATTTTCAAAACAATGTTATACCTGGAAACATTAAAAAAAAAAGGAAGAAAGAAAAAAAACATGAAATAAACTGCACGAATTCGGTAGAGAACAATGAGATTTAATTATTTTTAAATGATATTCATATTCAACTTTTTATTCCTTGTCTGGGAAAATATTTATCTCAAAACTCCATACATATATAGCCTTAAGCGCTTCGAGATACGAAAAAGAGTATAAAAAGCTTGGGTGAACTATAACACAAACATCTTGCTAACGAGCGTCAAGCACCTTTTGCCATTTTTACTGTTAGCAAAAATTATACATGCAACAAAAAGAATAAATAAATCAGGCATCAACGTGAATGTTGATATATATATATGTATACCAACTCCGGCAATATTTCTTGTCAAACTCGAAAACAAATGCAAGGGAATTTCAAATTGTTTTTTTATTTTTTGTAAAAACGAGAGAGAACTCTTGTTCTGTAACTTCTTTTATTTAACTTTCAATAAACATAATTTTGATAGCAGCAATTAAGTCAAGTGACTTAAATACTGCTATCGAATTTATTCAAACATTATTTGTACAAAAAAAATAAATTGAACTTTAGTAGAAAATATTGGTAGTTATTTAGTAGGAGTGGAAAAAATTAATTAATTAATTTTAAAAAACAAAATTAGATTAACTGAATTATGTACCAAAATTTTTCTAATTAATTATTTCGACATAACTGTCAAACGAAATGAACTAATAATCAGTAGTAATTAATAATATTTTGAATACTAACAGTAAGTAATTAATAAAAATACAACTATCTACATCAGTGAGTAACCAATCTTCCAGGAAATACAAAGCATTTTAACTAATTCAAATTTAGAGACCAATTTTAATTAAGACCGAATTACTTAAAGACCAAGTTTAGGATTAAGTTTAAATTAGGACAAAACTTTCCTACAAGACTCAGATTAATTTATACAATAACTAATTGTATTGTTACTAGCAAATTAGTTAATTTTAACTGATTCAAACTTGGAGATCACTTTCAATTAAGACCAAATTAGAATTAAGTTTAGATTAAGTCCAAACTTACTTACAGGAGGGAAATTAATTAATTAAATAGGCAAATAATTTTTCCAATTAACATTTTAATGAGTTTGGAAACCTATTTTAATTAAATTCGAATTACCATTAACTGTAAATCAAAACTAAATTAAAATTATGTTTAGATTAAGATCAAACTTGATTGGATGATGCAAATTAATTAATGAAAGTAAATAATTTTTACTAGTAACTTTCTAACTATTTTAGAAGATAATTTTAATTAGTTTAAAATTAACGTTCTTAACTATAAACAACAATTAACTAATTCTAATTTAGAAAGACTTTCTAAATTAGAATTAGTTAATTGTTGCTAATAAAAATTATTCATTATAATAGACAATTAATCGGTTTATTTGAATCAAAAACATTTATTTTCAATGCAATTTTTTAAAATTATTTTTTACAAAATAAAAATTGTCTATACAATAAAAATAATAATCAGTTATTAGAATCGAACAAAAATGTTTTCCAATGTAATTAAAATTCAGTTTTTAGTCTCTAAAAACTCTAATAAAACTAATATCCATTCTTATCCTTAAAATAGGTAAGATTTTAATTTTCTTTTCTATGATAAATCCCATACAACTTTTGTAAAAATTTATGACCCCTCAAGAGAATTTTCCAACCACACACTGTTTGCAAATTTCCCAAGAATTATTTTCCAAAGTTTCTCCACTTCTCATACGTGCTCCAAATGACTCCCTAGTCTCAAATATTCAAGTGTGTAACACATTGACGTGAAAAAGGTTAAAACTTAGAAGAAGCGAGCGCATTGAAATTCTTGCAGAAACTTGTATATACATCAGGCGTAGAGAATAAGATTAGATAAAGAAAAAAAGGAAGTTGAAAAAATAAAAAAAGAAGGAAGAAAAAAAACACAATTTCCTACGTCATGGTTCGGGCAATAGGTGTCAAGACTCGTAACATGGGTTTATAATGCAGCATACCAACGTAAATCTCTCAACACTCCCTTCATACTATTTTCTTTTCTACTTTCTATTCTTTCTTTTTCTTAAACAATTGTTTCAACAATGTACCATCCGTTGTATAAGGGGGATGTATTCTTAACCGCACGAAAAAAAACCAAAAAAAAAATCCCCCAACAAATGATTCTTTGTTTTAAGGAAAATATTTTTATTATCATCTTTTTTTCTCTTCCTTTTGTTATTCAGAGCGTCGTTCAGGAGATGAATAGACTGGGAATGATGGTGGACTTATCACACGTATCGGTGCCCACAATGTTAGACGCTATGAGCACATCAAAAGCTCCAGTGATCTTTAGTCATAGTAGTGCTCACGCCCTCTGTAATTCCTCGAGAAATGTTCCAGACCACGCATTACGTCTTCTGGTAAGTCTCGACGAGAGTAACTTTATAAACCTATGCAAATAAGGGCTCAGAATTCTTTCAACTTGAAAAGCGCACAGATGTGCACAACTTTTCTTTACAGAAACCATAGTTTCTGAATAAGGAGAGAGAGATGAGATTTATAAATGTGACTCTAACACGAATTCTTCGAGGAAATCTATTATTAAAAAAAAGAGAGAGAGAGGAACAGTAATTTTTTCTTTAATAAATTGATATTGCAGACAAAAAATTATTTTAGAAAAAAATCTAATAAAAATTCTATTACATTTATTTACTAATTTCTTTAATATTGTAAACAACGAAAACATCAATAGTTTTATTTAAAATTAATATTTAATCATTATTATTTTTCCATAGGAATTAAGATTTTCAAAAATTTCAAATTCAAACCTTTTTGAAATTCAACGACTTATAAAAATTACAGCATGGTTGCCATAAAATGATAAATATAAAATTCCAGTCTTTTTTCAGGATTGTCCAGGTCAATATTTATGAAATTCCAGTCAAAAATTAAAAAAATTTCTGGCATAATAACACAGCTTTAAAATTTTTTTTTAATTTCCAAATACCAAAAATTTTTTCTTCATAAAAATTTTTATATGGCGATGAGAAAAAAGCATTTTTTAAAATTTTAAATTAAAATTTTGTCAAAAATCTATAAAAACAGACAAAATTCCAGAAATTTTTTTTAAATTCCATACTATTTCCAGGTTTTTCATACCCTCTTTCATAATTCCATACCTTTTCCAGGATTTCCAGGCCATGTGGCAACAATGAATTACAGATAACCAAGTGATAAAATCATTAATTTTATATAATATGAATATATTATTACTGGAACTTTTTCAAAATTATTTTCATCATTTCAATTGAATTATTATTTTCTATATAATTTTTAACTAAAATTCTTCTTCAAATCAGTTATTCTTAATAATTTTAGTCAAAGTTCTTTAAGAATTTCAAATCTATTTGTTTACAATTCAATTTTACGAAATTTCGATTATTCAGAACTTTTTCAACTAAATATATTAAAAAATAAAAATTTCAAATAATTTTAAAAAAAATTCAATAAACTTTTTCAAAAAAATTGATTCTACAAAATTGTTTTTGTTAAAAGTATGAAAAGTTCAAATTTTCAGAGATTTTAATTTGAAACCTTTTGAAAATTCAATTATTTCAAAAAATCCATACTATAATTCTTTTGATATTCAATTACTATCTAAAATTTTAACTGAAATTAATTTTTAATTTAATTTCTATTAGAAAATTCTACGAGAATTCAATTATTTAAATATCAAAATAAATAATTTATTGAATAATTGAATTTTTCTTTAAATTGAATTCTCATACAAACTTTTATCAACAAATTTTTAAATAATTGAATTCGCTTAAAAAATTAGAATATTTTTCGAGAAATTTGATTATAAAATTGGATTAAAAATAATTGACTTTCTAAAAATAATTTTATTATTTCTGAAAATAATTGAATCCCTGTAGGAAATTTTGTTATTTTTAAAAATATTTGAATTATTACGAAGAAATTTATAAAAAAAATTTGTAAATAATTGAATTCCTGTAAAATTTTGATTATTCATGAAAAAAATTAAATATTTGTGTAGAGTTTAAAAAAATGTTGTTAAATAATTGAAGTACTTTGGAAAATTCTATTAAAATAGTAGATAAAAAATAGTAGGTAATATCTACTATTTTTAATCATTGAATTAAGGAAAATTTTTGAAAATAATTGAAAAGTAATTAAATATTTGCGTAGACTTTAGAAATTTTTTTTAAATAATTGAATTCTTTTGGAAAATTTTATGAAAATAGTAGGTAATATTTACTATTTTTAATCATTGAATTGAGGAAAATTTTTGGAAATAATTGAATTTCGGAGAAAAATTTTATTATTTATAAACATAATTCAAATTTTGACGAGAATTTTATTTAATTTTTGAACATATTATTGAATTTCTGCCAAGGATTTTGTTACTTTCGAAAATAATTGAATTTCTGCAATTATTTGTAACTTCTCCAATATTCAATTTTTTTGTCCGGTTTTCACTAAAATTCGTCTAAAAATCCATTATTTTTAATAATAAATAAAATATGTATTAAAAAATTTAACTAATTTCTAAAAAAAATTTGAATTATTAAAATTTTTCCAAAGTCTAAGTTCTTTAAAATTTCTAATTAAATTAATTGAAAATTGAAATTTTCCAAAATTTAAAATCGAAATCTTTTGATGTTCATCTATTTATAAAATATCTATTTATAATATCTATTTATAAAATTTGTAAACGCAACTCTTTTAAAATTCAATAAATTTTCAAAATTTAAGTAAAATTATTCACTAAATAATTTCTAAGTTATAATTTTATGAAAGTTCTTCAAGAATTAAGTTACTTAAAAATAAATTATTGTCAGAAATAGAAAAAATTGAAGGTTTTCTGTATTAGAATTCGTAGTAATTCAAAATTTACAAGGCAAACAAAAAAGACTCCAAAATTCAGAATTTTCTTATGCATTCTAAAAATTTAATTTTTTCCAGCACTAAATAAAAATCCCTGACTTTTCCCTGAGTTTCCTGACCTGTGGCAATCCTGATGATACTAATAAAAGTCGACAATTTAAAAATCAGTAGTCAAAGTAAGATTCAGTCAGACAAAACTTTCCTAAATATTCAAATTTCGTTATAATTAAAAATTAAGTAGTAAAAACAGTTTTAAACGGACAAAAAGTTACTAATTCTAACTCGTTGACAGAAATCTACATAATTCTTCTACTTTACGCAAATCAGTAGTAAAAGTAAACTCCAGTCAGACAATCGTTTCCAATATTGCTTTAATTTCGTTTCCAAGTAGTAAAACCAGTTTCAAGTCAGACAAAACGTAACTTATCTGTATTCTAAATGCAAAGCCTATTCTCCTACTGAATAGAAGAAGAAAAAATTACTAAAAGCAACAAATCAATTATTCTATACAAAATACCAATTATTCTAGAAAAACTAATTATACTACAAAAGTCAATTATTTTATATAGAACCAATTATTTTATATAGAACCAATTATTTTATATAAAACCAATTATTTCATATAAAACTAATTATTTTAAATAAAACCAATTATTTTATATAAAACCAATTATTTTATGTAAAATAGATTAAAATAAATTATTTTGAGTACAATATCAATTATTCTATAAAAAAATCATTTCTTTCAGGCCCAATCAGGAGGCATAGTGATGGTATCATTCTACCCATATTTCATCAGCTGTGGCGAAAAGTCTACACTAGAAGACGTAGCCGGTGAGATTTTTTCTGCCTTCTATTAATTGACAGATAGCTTTTAATCTTCCATTCACTCCTTGCAAAAAGACCCTTATCCTATTCCCTTCCCCCGCAAAAAAAAGAAAAGAAAAAAAAATCAAAAAACGCCCGTAATTCAGACTCTGTAAAAGCTCAAAGCCCCTCAACCTATGTGAAGAGTAAGAAGTAATTGAAGAGGAGTGTGAGAGATTTTAACCAAAGAAGAAAGATGCGGTAAAGTGAAGAAAAGGGAACGGGAACTTAATGCCGCGACGGCAATATGGCACTCACAATCTTGGTAGTTAACGAGATTTTTCACGCCTCAAATTTTAGTATATTAAACCAATTTTTTACAACTTATAAACATTGTTTTTTCTTTTCCGCTGGGAAAAAAATCCAGCATATAAAAAATGTATTTCTACAATAAATACTCGAGTTTAAAAAAAAGTCTTAGTTACAGCCCCAAAAATAGTCTTTTTCTTTTTTTAAATTCAAAAGCAAAAAGAGTCACTAATTCAAACTCGTCAATATTTTCCCTACTTCAAAATTTAGAGAATTTGTAATAAAATTAATAGAAAATAAAATCAAAAAAAAAAATTTTTGTATTCAATTTTTCTTAATTTAATTTCATTCTACAATAAAAATTAATACATAAAACAAACATTAGTTTTTTCAATGGAAAAAACTAATAATCATAAACCTTTTTCTATTTAATATATAAATGTTTATAGAATTCGATAAACATTTATAAAAATTTACTTTCCTCGTATCATATGATCAATAATTGTCAACTGACCGTAAATAAAAATCTCTCGCACGTATTCAATTCATATGTAGAAGGTAAATCGCACAGTTCATCCCAGCAATAATTCATGCAACACTGAGCTTATAATTCTTTCGCGCTTAGTGAACCATATCAACGTGTCGATATCCCGATTTTTCACAATCAATATTCCCAATCAACCGATTAAAATTTTGCTTATTAATGAAAAAAAATGACAGACACATTACATTGTTATGCTAAAGGAAATCTTTTACAAAAAAAAATAAATAAATTTATAAAATCAAACTTTAGGCAAAATTCCTGCCCCCCCCCCCCAAAAAAATTCTCTTGTATTGAGAGAAAAAAATTTGTTTTCATCTCTCGAAATCTGCGTCATCAGTAAACTGTCAAGCACTAATATATTTAGTAAATTTAAAATAAATGATTTACAAAAAATACAATTTTTAAAATTAGAAAAAACCCTTCAAATTTTACTATTTTATTTAAATTTTATTTTAAAATTTTTACTCAATTTTCAGAAACAAATTACAACCGACAAAATACTTGTAGTAATTTTGATTAAGATTATTATAAAAATTTAAACAAAATAAATTTTAAATCAATGTACCTAAAATTTTAATAAATTGAAGTTTGGATCAATTGAATTATTTTTAATTAAAACCACAACCTATTACCCCTGAATCAATATAATAAAATATAAAAAATAAAAAATTCCACAAAATACAAACAAATAATAAAAAAAAAAAAATTCGTGTAATTTGCAAAGGGCAACCTCATAAGAGAATCGGAAATAATGAGCTATCCGTCCCATAAACGACAATGTCGATGTGGAAGCGGAACTTCAGTCGATTAGTCACATCGTGAAATTACGGGATCAACCACGAGATTATAGACTGTGCTCGAATATAATGTTTACTTGAATATAGGGAAAATTATGTGAACGGTATGCTCTAACATTATCTCATCAATATACATACATAGGTATATACATGTTTATGTATATGTATCTCAAAGCAACGTTTCAATATCATTTCGCATTAATAATTTTCATATACACAATATCAATTAGGCTCATTGCTAATGTTAAGTGAATGGTAAATCATCCATAACGATGTTTTCATTTACAAAGATCGCATATTGCAACAACAACAACAGCAAGAAAATAAGATAATTCAAATTCTATATCCTCCAATATTATATCGAGTAACAAAAAGACAAAATTCATCCAAATTTATTCTGATCCCCACTCCAAATTAGTAAGAACAAAAGGAAAATTACATAATAATTAAAATAAATATTCTTCGAATTCTTCTAAATTTTAATTTCAAAGAATAATAATTTCCAAAAAGAAGAAATTTTCTTCTTCGCGTCAAAATTAAAATTCTTAAATATAAAAGTAAAGAAATTTTTTAATAAAAATTAATACCACTTATTTAAAGTGACGCGAATTTATTTAACTGTTTCGCATAGTAGAAAAGATAAACCAAAGTCGATAAATAACTTTTCCCCGCAGAAAGTGCCTTCAATGAATAATTAAAATATAAATGAAAAGAAGTTTGCAGAGAAAAAAAGTAATTAAAGTTTGCTGGGATTGAGCTTTTACCCTTTTTTAAGAGTCTTTTATGTAAAAGAGAGTTGAAACGAAACTTATGAGTCTAAAAGCGTAAGAAACCGGGAAAAGTATATAAGAAGACATCTCCTTATTTCACTCAAGTAAAATTATTACAATGTAGAAAGAAATGTAAATAAAAATGTTTAAGAATCGAATTTAGTATCAAACTTATACCAGAAAAATGTTTTTTTTAATTTTAATTCCAGCTCATATCAACCATATACGAAAAGTGGCTGGAATCGATCACGTGGGAATTGGTGCTGGCTACGATGGGATCAATTTGTAAGTATTTTTTTCAATCACATTTTTTTTATTGAACAATCAACTATATTAATTAAATATAATATTGAAACTGAGTTAAAAAATTTCTCTCTCCCCCTTTTTTTTTTGAATAAAGTGTAGCAACGAATTGAATAAATTTAGAAGTAAAATTTAATTAATCTCTTTCGAGAAACAGAATTATTAAACAAACAAAAAATTATTATTTTCGACAAAGGTATAATGAGACAAAACTGATGAATATGAATTTTACAGAATATTAAAACAAGGTACGCGCAAGGTAGTTGAAAAAGTTGTTAATTTATTCAATGTTTTCAATTAAATAGTCTCCACTCGACTATAAATTTTAATATATTACTTTTTAATGTCTCATGTATTTCCTCCTGAATTTATTTTTGTACACTTGTAAATAATAGCAAATGATGAAAAAATTTTAATAAAACCAGAAGCAATGAAAATTTTATTAAATACCTAAAGATTCTATTTGCAAATTTAACATTTTTTTTATTTTAACTGCACTGAAAAAAATTATCTGATTCAAATAAACAATTACTTGTCTATTAATAAATAAATAAATAAATAAATAAATATTTATTTGTATCAAATAATTTTTATTCAAGTCAATTAAATAATATTTGTTTCAAATACTGAAATTATTGGTTGAAGCACAATTTATTTTATTTAAATAAATATTATTTGATTCAAGTAAATATTTCTTTGGTTCAAATATAAATATTTATTTGATTCAAGTAAATATTCATTCGATTCAACTAAATATTTATTCGATAATATTTTCTTCAGTGTACTAATTTCAAAATCAATATTCCAAACAGAAAATAATTTTTCCAACACCAAACGAAAGAGGAAATCTGATACATAAGTATTTTTTGAATCTACATCACGTTATTTGTTTGAAAACAAGATTTGCATTTCATATGCTGAAAGCATGCCCAGTTTGCACACAAGAATACTTATGTAAGCACAGCAGGGATTTAGCAGTTGGGCGCGTGGTTATTAAATAAACATAGAGTGCCCCTATCTCCTATTTAAACCAACAGTAAAAACGATTCACAGTTTCCATATTCTTTAAAAAAAAACAGAAAAGGAAATATAAAAGTTCAAAAGAACAAAAATTAAGAATCGAGGGAAGCAAAAAGGAAAAAAAAGAAGAAGTTTTATTCGTATACTTTGTAATCAGAAAAATTGTAATTCTGAATTTTCATTCTAAAAAGAGAAAAGAAAAACTACATAACCAGGAGGAAAGAAGAAAACTGAATTTTCATTTAACGAGGTCACCCCGACAGCCCGAGTTTTCTATATTCAATAACTAAATTATTATCTCCATTAATAATTCAAGCGAAAAAAATCTACTTTTAAAATTATTAGAAATCGAAAAAAAATTTTCATTCCTTGCAAGTTGAATTTGAGCAAAAAAAAAATCGAAAAAGTCGAAATAAATAAAAGATTCGTTCAAAAAATAATGGAAACGGTATTTTATGTAATTAATATAATTGTATAAATAATTATAGAATTAATTACAGTCAAACCTGTCGTAATGCAACTCTATTTTACAAATTCTTTTGTATTCAAAAATCTCCAAAAATAATTATTTTCACTTAGTTCCAGAATATTGCAAAAAATATTTACAAAATTGAATTAAAAAACAATTTTTGTATACTCCCTAATTTTTTAAGGATTGTATATAAATGACTATATTTTTAATTACATAATTAAAAATATAATTTTCATACACTTATTTTTTTTATTTGAATAAGTTTTCCAAAAAATCTCAAAATTTCAAGATAATTATTCGTTTTCATAATTTTTTAAAAAAACCCAGATAATTATTATAATTTCCTAAAACTTACAATCATCTTTGTTCACAAGAAGTTCGACTTCCGTCTCGAAAGCGCTCTCTCAAATGATGATTGTGTGTCTCCTATAGAAAATCCTTGCTCGGAATGACGAAACTTCTTCCAGGTTCCCTCCAGGATATTTTGTAGAGCACCAGAAAAAAATAAAAAAAAAATTCAAAAAAAAAAATAAAAAAACAATACGAAAACGTACAAGAAAATCCAAGAAAATAAAAAAAACAAAGTACAAAAAATATAAAAAGAACAAAATAACACAAAAAACAAACTAGTACCAAAAATACTAAAAATATGAAATGTATAAAAAACATAAAAGAAAGAACAAAATACAAAAAAAATATTAAAAATACAAAAAAACAAAATGCTACTAAAAAATACCAAAAAAATATAAAATAATACCAAAAACTACAAAAAAAATATAAAAAATACTTTGAACAACAGAACAGAGACAAATACAGAAAAATACAATATTTAAAACAATTAACAAATATGGGTTTTACCATATATTACGTCACACTTCAAGGAAAAGGGAAGAAGGCAGCAAATTCTTTGCGCCAACCTACAAAAAAAAATTAGTTCTAAAAAATAAAATAAACCTAACAATAACCAATATATGGCATCGATGGGGAAGAGGGGGTCAAAAAGGAGTATAAAATATATGTCGTTATACGTGGATGACCCAATATTTATTAATTGTATTAAATAGCAAATAAAAAACAACATAGTGACAAAAAAGATATATCAAACGTAAATAAAGATAAAACATAATGAAATAAAGATTTTCGCACTGGTACTCCAGTGGTACACACTGCTTCAAACGCAGGTGTCTGGTTCGTGTGTACGATTGCACACTGCTTCAAACGCAGGTGTCTGGTTCGTGTACGTATGTCAATTTTTTTCCGAATTCCCTACCTACCCAAATATTTAATACGGTAAAAAAAATTATTACATTTTTTCATACAAAAAAGCTAATCCTTCCTATCCAGAATCTATTTAATACAAACCTAGTTTTAAATCACAGATACTCGCACAAGTGCTCCACGATTCTCTCACATACCGCCCAGATGCAAATTGACCTACTCTAGGGATAAAGGGGCACGTTAGGCTCACCCATACGTCCCGGGACGCATCCGTCATCTGAGCTCAAAACCTGCTCACACATTCAAAAATAGAAAATAGAAATTAATAAACAATACACTGGATAAAATTTTACTTAACATTTTTAATTCTCAAAAAAGATGAAGAAATATTTAGTATTTAATATTAAAATTATTCATTTTAGTTCAGAAATTATTACTATTATTATTATAAAATTATTATTTAAATTATTACAAGTATTTAATAACAAATTCAAAAGTTGAAACCAAAAAAATTGCTTTTAAATGTCCTTTGTTTTCTGTTAAAATTTTTATAAATTGCTAAACTTTCTATATTGATAAATATAAAAATAAAAATTTAATGAATCTAATTTTTAATTGTTTGGAAGCGAAAGAAAGTTGCTTTAAATTATGAGAAAAACCTTCAAAACATTAAGTAGGTAAAAAATTATTCAGTGTAAAGTAACATGTAAAGTTACAAAAGAAACATTTGCCAAAAGTATTAAATTTTGAAGTAATTAAAAATACTACAAAATAATACATTTTGTCAATGTCGTCACTATGTTGTTGAAATTTCTTCCCTGTTTTCAAAAATTACTAATGTTTCATTGAATCAACATTACTGTTATATTTTTAAATAAAATTTTGTTTTTTGCAAATTAGTGAAGAAATAATTGCAAAATAGACAAATAGTTACGTAATAATTTCAAATTAGTTAAGTAATAATCAGAAATTGTTTACGTAATAATTAAAAAGCGAATTGACTTATGAAGTGCTTCAAACAGGGAAGAAATTATAATCAAATTAGGCAAAAAGAAGAAAAATCAATAAAGGATATAATCCACGTTGATCGAGAGATGATGATTTTCGGTTGTGATCCTTTGCAATCCTTTGCAAATAGTAATAATCAATAAACCCACAACTCAATGACGATTAATGTGATCGATGATTTAATCCTGGTTCACCTCCAAAAATCTTGACTCACGTTGTCTTCTGGACCACCTCCAGAGATCTCTGACTCTTGATTGAACTTCTGCAACAAAACAAGGACCACACGAAATTATTAAAATATTTATTATAATTACAAAACAAGCTTTTCAAAAATTAGTTACTATAAAGTATAAAATTACAAAAGAGAAAATTATTTTCAACTAAAAAGAAAATTAAATAAACTTTTATAAAAATAAGTTATTAAGAGCTGTTCAATAGTCTAAAACTAAAATCAGTTTTTATTAATTATTTTTAATATACAGAAAACTTGAACATATAATTTTTTCAACAGCAAACAATACAAATGAATTTACGCTAATTTTTAAATTTATCATAAATTTTATATATGTATGAATGTTCAATTATAGCATTTATGAGATGCAATTCGGAACAGGGACCCTCTCTCTGTTTGCTTGAATATAAACACACCGTTTGAGTCGTAAACCTAATTTCAAGTACACAACCGGTCCTTTGTTTTGATCAATTTCTTCTAACTAGTTTATCCGTCTGTTGAATATTTAGTTTCAAATTAGAAATGTCGAGTTGTCCAAAATGTTACAAATCCTCTGAATAATTCAGGAATACAAATAAAAAGTGTTTGTTTTCGTTTAGATATCATGAATCAAATATAGTAAATTCAGTTTCCCTTTTGATTCCGGTAAATTTTGTTTTTGTTTCAAACATCTGCATCGAAAATGAATTTAGTTGTGTTGATTCCAAAATCATAATCGAAAGCTATGTAAATTTCTTTGGTATTCATTTCACAGTTTTTCTAAGCATATCGAATTGAGTCAAAAAACGAATCAAAACATTGCTTCGCAACACTTTTTCGAGTTTAGGATTAAAATCAAAAAAGACAACTTTGGTTATTATGGGCTATTATAGTTTTAAAATTATGTTATGATTCAGATGTCTGAATTAAAACTATAGTTTTAATTCAGACATCTGAATCATAACCTAATTCTCTCGTTTCTAATTCGAATCAACAGTTCACGATTATACTGAAAGAGAATAAAAAATTGCAATTGTATATCAAAATTCAATA